TATATTATGAATATATAACAACTGTTACTTTCTTTGTAATTTGTCACAAAATGACACGAGGTACTTTCTAAACGTAGCAATTGTAGTTTGTTTTTCTGTACTTTACAAAAATATAATTTATAGAAAAAGAGTTTGATGTATTATTTTTCCAAGTTTAAATATTTAATAATCAATAGCATTTTCAAGTTTTTTTTTTAGCGAAATTTACAAGAGTAATAAAAACTAATAAAAACTATGTTCACTGCTTATATTAAACTGATTAAAACTTCCTTTATTAAAATAATTATTTATATTATAAAAAATTTGATGTTATTTTTTTTATCATCGGCATCAACTGCTAAGGTTATTAGCCTAAATTTGATCTTATTGGAAGCTTTTAAATTTTTTAATATACAGTGAAACAATAGTTTTTGTTTCTCCTGTAAATTTGTATAGAAAAACTATTTCTGAATTCATGTTTGAATTTCCCGCCCTAAAGCATTTTTAATTTTCCCGCTATTTACTAGTGGCGCCATCATAGACTGGTTGTGGTTACAATCGCCCAAACAACTTTTATCGAACAAAAAAATACATTGAGTTACAAGTCTCGCTGGGTTGTCTCTGATAACACAGTTCTAATCGATACGTCGACGTCAAAAAACCAGCAACATCAGTGACCTCTTAGATTGGTGTTAGTTTTATTGGAGAGAGATAAATATATGTAAAGATCGATATAAAAGAGAAAGAAAGTCATATATGTAATTTAAATGGACCACCGAACAAATTTTCCTATTAAGTTACACGTCTCTGGTAGCACTCATAAGAGCTCTATCAAGCTAGCGGGCACTCTGTGGCGGCACCATTCAAGACCTGGCGGGTTTTTTGTAGCTTTTTTGTAGCTTTTTTGTTACGCTATTTGCGAATTTGTAGCTTTGCCCAGGTCCGAAAAAACAGCGGATCCGCTAGCTTGAATTTCCATAAATTCCATAGTAGCGGCACAGATTCAGACCCAGCTGGTTTTTCGTAACTTTTTTGTAGCTTTTTTGTTACGCTAGTCTCCCTTTTGTAGCTTGTACTGAACCTGAGAAAAGCGCGGATCCGCTAGCTTAGCGGATATTTGTAGCGGCACCAGCTCGGACTATGCTCATTTTTTGTAACTTTTTTGTAGCTTTTTTGTTACGCCTGTCTCCATTTCGTTGCGAGGCCTGAACGTGAGTAATAATCGTTTCTCCATGAGCGTGAGAGAAAAGTGCGTTAATTTAAAATCAAGTTTCGGCATCTACAAGTAATATGTGCAACTCGATAGTGTGACTATCTGTTGATAGATGGCACCAGTATTGCATTTCACGAATTATGGCCATCTTCCATCCAATATATTTTTGAGAAATTTAGATATAATCTCTAGTGTTGTTTATGTATTTATACTTTTGTTGAATCAAGAATATTCTTACATCTTTTTTGAATGATTTCCTTAACCAATCGTTTTGCAGTATTTATGGACCAGTATTTAATTTTGTCGGATCACAACTATACAGTGTGTTCCATCTCAGACGAGCCACCCCATATAGTAATTGGAAAAATTTTCCGAAACACGTCGGATGATTTTCTTTGGGGGACATATTTCGACGTATATTTGAGGCTTGAACCAGCAACCCCCTATGAGGGGGAGCTTCAACCCCTCAAAATGGAATAGGGAAGAAGGGTTGAGTAATACATAATTTGTAAGGTATTGAAAGCCTCTTTACAACGGTGTATGAAAAAAATCACATTCTTAAAAAAAATTAATTGTTTTATCACATCAAATGATCGAAGAAACGTGATAAACCTAAGAGCAAAATATGAAGGCAAGATAAGAAAATGTTTTGATTTTTTTTATTTATTAGTTCGAGAGAATTTATTATTGCATGGAAGTCAATAATGGAAGACAAATTGAAAATTTCATTTAAAAACGCAGTTTTGATTTTTTTGATTGTAAGCATGATAAAACAATTGATTTTTTTTAATGATGTGATTTTTTTCATACACCGTTGTAAAGAGGCTTTCAGGACCTTACAAATGATGTATCACCCAACCCCTCTTCCCTATTCAATTTTGAGGGGTTGAAGCGCCCCCTTATAGGGGGTTGCTCGTTCAAGCCTCAAATATACGTTAAATGTCCCCCAAAAAAAATCATCAGACGTGTTTCGCGAAATTTTTCCAATTACTATGGGATAAGAACTATACGGGGAGGCTCGTCTGAGATGGAACACCCTGTATATAGTGAGAATAGGTAATTGCTTGGTAGCTATTACCACCGGTGTGAAGTTAGCAGTAAGTTTTTAGCAGTACAAATAACCGAAAACACCCGATAGGGAAAATAGTGGCGTCCGACATACAACTATTTTAATAATTTTGTCAATATGTATTTTACATTAATATCGGACAAATAATTAATATACATACCGTTGAAAATGTCTGATTTTGAGATTATATCTAAATTTCTCAAAAATATATTTGATGGAAGATGGCCATAATTCGTGAAATGCAATACTGGTGCCATCTAGCAACAGATAGTCACACTATCGAGTTGCACATATTACTTGTAGAGGCCGAAACTTGATTTTAAATTAACTCACTTTTCTCTCACGCTCATGGAGAAACGATTATTACTCACGTTCAGGCCTCGCAACGAAATCGAGACAGGCGTAACAAAAAAGCTACAAAAAAGTTACAAAAAATGAGCCGGGTCCGGGCTGGTGCCGCTACAAATATCCGCTAAGCTAGCGGATCCGCGCTTTTCTCAGGTTCAGTACAAGCTACAAAAGGGAGACTAGCGTAACAAAAAAGCTACAAAAAAGTTACGAAAAACCAGCTGGGTCTGAATCTGTGCCGCTACTATGAAATTTATGGAAATTCAAGCTAGCGGGTCCGCTGTTTTTTCGGACCTGGGCTAAGCTACAAATTTGCAAATAGTGTAACAAAAAAGCTACAAAAAAGCTACAAAAAACCCGCCAGGTCTTGAATGGTGCCGCCACAGAGTGCCCGCTAGCTTGATATAGCTACTCATAAGGTCTTTTCCTTTGCATCGAAAGTGTAGTGCTGAGCTACGTCACTTCTGAAAATATCGTTCTATCCATACAATTTGTATAAACAAAACGATATTTTCAGAAGTGGTGTAGCTCAGTGCTACACTTTCGATGCAAAGGAAAAGACCTATAGATTACTTCTGAAAATATAATTTTCCATTTATACATGGAGGTAGAACTCCATGCATTTATACAGATGAATGGAACGATATTTTCAAAAGTGACCTAGCCAGGTACACGGTGGACTCCACAAAGCACATAGAGGTTCCACGTGAATGACCAAGGTCAAAACCGACAACTGACATTTTTTATGCTATTTGCTCCAAACTCTAGATGGGGCTACTGGTGAAATTATGATTTCTTACTCCATTTTTAAGCCTTATGGGAGAAAAACTTAACCAAAGACTCCAAAGATGTGACGTGTATTTATTAGGCATTCCAACGACCTGTCCAAATGGCTACCAGTGGGTAATGACAGTTTAGATATGACAACCCTGTTGTCATGTTGTCATTAACAGGGTCAATGATACATATATAGTTATATAGATTGCTCAAAGCTGGTCGTTTACGAGCGGCCATATTGCCTGGTAAATATTTATTAATTTGAATCTGTTTAGCAAAAATGTGTTTTAAAACCAATTTTTAGCCTTTAGATATTTAAAAAAAATAATTGCTTACATTTTTACTTCAAGGCATAAGCTTATGTTTATTTTGAAAAATATGGATGATCAATCTATGTAACTATCTATTTCATTGACCTTGTCAAATCACCAGGCCTACAGGGTTGCCATAATTTTGCCATATCATAACCCACTGGTAGCCATTCAGTTTGGAATGCCTAATTTATGTTCTTGGTTAGTTTCATTTTTCCGTCTGATTTTAGTGATTTTTTGTTGCTTTGGCTTTTGGTTTCTGTTTATAGTTTCGTCTTAGTTATTTGCAAAATTGTGATGTTTCGCTTTTTTATTTCCTACTGTGTTTTGCAATAATTTTGGTGCTACGAGAAAAACTTCATATATTCACCATGCATCTGCATCATAAAAAGACAAACGGGGACAACAACTAATTGATAATCAATTTATCACTGGACTAGATTCCAAAATCATTTTTCACATAAGAGAGTAATACCACCATCTGTATTTGGAAGGAAAATACCTATTTATCAATGAATGAATAGTTAAAAGGATTCACCTTTTAATACAATACCTATATTACATTTGTCCTCAGTTAAAAAGACATTTATAAAATATATAACTTTAGTGTTAATAAAATGTAATATCCTAGTCTCTACTTCACATTTAAATTATTAATAGGTATTTTAAAGATTTGAGATTATATATCTATTTGCTCCAAGTAAGTATTCGTTAAATATGTATTATTATTTGTATTTATTTTTATCTAATAATATTTATTTAAGTTATTAATAAACATATTTTAAGAATGTTCTATTTTATTATTTATTGATATATCTTATATTTATTTAATAAAAATATGCAGAACCAACTCTCCACATTAGACCCCTTATAACAAATTAATTCTTCAAATTTGGTATAATCGACCTAAATTATTTTGTAAAATAAAAGTTTCGAACTTACTAGTTCCATACTTTATTTTATAAAAAAATTTATGTGGAAATCATTTAAAATTTAATTTAAAACTACTACCTACTCCTAAAAATTACAATTTGAATTTACCGCCAACTGTCAATTGTCATTTTAGTTCCAGCTCCAAACACAAGGTGTCGCTAATTTGGTTTAAAAGTTTAACATTGGCGTGGGGTCTCTAGAAGATACATGCTTTGTGGTGGACTCCACCGTGGCCAGGGATACCATCTCAGTCAGTGATTGATACATATCAATGTTGGAGCCACTTACTCTGAGAAATGGAATGGAAAACGGAATGAACGACTGAACGTACCTGTCGAAAATAACGTCAAACGTTAACTGTCTTGTCAACCTCGAAAAGTCATTGCTCTTTAAAGAAGTAAAAAGGTAAAAATGTGTTTTTTTAACATGTGTATGTATTGATATGTATGTCGTCGTCATCAAAAGCAAAAGTATTTTAACGGTGCAAAACATGAGTTTAGGTTAGAACTGCATGTGTCGGTATTGATATTCTTTGTAAATATATGTGTAAAAATCTTTGAAAAAGATGTTAACAACTGATGATTTTATGTTGGATGAATATATATTCAAAAGATCTCCAGAATCATGCAGCGATCATTCTTATTCCACAGGTAAACTTAACCACCCACTATCAACCTACAACATGATAAAATTATTTAATGTTTTTAGATTATATGGATGTTACTTCAGACGAGGACTTCTTGACTCAGTTATCATCAGATTTAGACATTCCGCTTTTGTTAAACCAAGGTGAAGATGAATATAGCATGTTAAATTCTTTGTTGTTTGACAAAAGCCCGGATGAAATCTTATCAGAAACAGCTTCTCCTCCTTATATTAGAGATGAAGACATTACAAATGAAATTTCAGTACTTCACAAAATAGATTTTACGAAATGTGGGCCGGAATCTTATCCTAATCTTCAATCTGAGGTTAAAAATGAACCTTCTGAAGGCTCTATTTCGCCTCGTTCAAGTAAATCTGCTTCTCCAGTATATAACACTGATAAATATATTAAAGAGGAGATAGTTTTAAAGTCCCCACCTGCTTCTCCAATTATAATAAATACTGTAAATGAACTACCTAATAATATAATTTATGCACAGCCAGTTAAAATATTACCTTCAACACAAAATTTACCTCAAAAACATGTACCTATAGTACCAAAAACCCCTTACAATTTACCAGTTAATAATAAAAATAAGGTTGTTGTTTTGAACAGAGACCTGAACCCTGTTGTTACCCAATCCCCCAATGTTGTACTTGTTGATAGTGTCAATGTAACTACAGTACCTTCTATTTCTGTGCCTAATGTGCCAGTTACTAGTGTCTCTAGTTTTTCAAAGTCTGTGACTGTGCCTTCAGTAGTTATAAATACAAAGAGTGGGTTTACTTTAAATGGCAGAAACATTGATCCTAAAATTCTGAAGAGGCAACAAAGGAAGATCAAAAATAGAGAATCTGCTAGTTTGTCTAGGAAAAAGAAGAAAGATTATGTTACTTCTTTGGAAGAACAAGTTAGGGAGTTGAGTAGTTTAAATAAGAGATTACAAGGTGTAAGTATTTTTTTATTGCATAACTAAAAAAGCTATAAAAAGGGTTATAGAATAAAAATATTTTTCATAAGACATATTTAATTGAATTAGTTATTTGGAAAAATGCACATTTACCTAACACTCAATTTTACAGTTGAAAGGAAAAAAAATTAAATCAAATTGTGTACACATAATAGTTATTTACATATTTTTATATGTTCATTAGTATGTGAGAAAGCTAATTACATTTATTTTTCATATCAAAAAAATATATTTATATTTATTTCATTTGTGCCCTTTTCCAAACTTATTCACAATAAAATATTAAAAATAAAAATCTGTTACATTTATTAAACAAATATAGTTTCACATATTATTTAGTAAGTTAAGTTACTTTATAATAGCAAAGAAGTCTTCTTCAGCCATCTCTTCGGACACTGTTGTTGGCCAGTCCAATCTCAGGCCAGCAGACTAAAGCACATAAATCCAAAATGACTACTTTACAGGAAGCACAAAAAATCGATTAAATTTATAATAACTGATTAATGTATATATTTTATTTCACAAAATCGAGTTACAACCATTAACCATTAAAAGTAAATTAAACTAACTTATCCTAAAATTGCTTATTTTCGTATTTGAATGACTTATGTTATTAGGGTCATTCAACATATTGGACTTATGTCCTTAGGTACCTATCCTGTCAACATACATGAAACTCATGATAAATGAATATCTAATTTTAAAATTTTCTTATAATAAATAATTAGGTCATGAATATGCAAATGCGGTTTGAACAATTAACATTTATATAAGCAATGGTTCCACAAAAACGAATACAAAAAAATACTATTGGCTATTACCTACTATTATCTAAGTAAAAACTATAATGACCAGAAGTCATTATGTTTATAGCAAGTCATAGGTGGTAACAGAATTTGAACAATATAAATAAAACAAGTAAAACAATAATTATTAGAGTACCAGAATTTGAACAATGTAAATAAAAACAATAATTAGTAGGTACTTAAAATTGTGATGAGGCAGTGACAGTGAGATGTCTCATACAGACCGAAAATGAGCTACATAATCATTGACGGAGTAAAAACGATGTCTCAATAGATATTTTTTTAATGTTTTTTTAAAAGCATTATTACTTAAATACTTAAAGTTCTGCGGTAATATGTTAAATTAGTTATAATTTAGGGAATTTATTTCAGATAGACATAACCTAAAACGAGTATTTCTAATACAATGTGAATTACGTGTCTTGTAATTATGAATATCGGACTGTTTCAGCAAAACAGACTGTTTCCTATGAATTTCAACAAGTGTATGATGTAGATATAAAGTAAGTAGTGGCATAATTTTAAATTTAATAAAATGTTGTTGACAATGTTCTCTGAATCCAATGTTAGCCATAATTCTGATAGCTTTTTTTTGCATCCCGAAGATTTGAATAGATTGAGAAGAGTTTCCCCAAAGTGGTACACCATAGCTGACATGTGAGTGAAAGAGAAATACGTAGTTTTGAGGGTATTTAAGTTGGTAAGTTTTTTCAACTGCCGAAGAATAAACAAAGAACTAGAAAGTTTTTTCTTTAACTAATTAATGTGGGCCGGCCAATTGAGTTTGTTATCCAATGTAATACCAAGTAATTTTACGTTTTTTGTTTCATATTTTGAGATAATTTGATTATTGGCAGATATCTGCATATTTTGAGTTTTTTCACTGTTAAGTTTTAATTTGTTGGTTGAGAACCATGTATTTGTTTTGTCCGCAATTTCATCAAACGAAGAAATTCAATTTTTATTATTTTTGTCTGTTAAGATGAGTGTTGTATCATCAGCAAATAAAACTGATTTATTAGGTAGCATAAAACGGCTTAGATCGTTAACATAACCAATGAATAAAAGGGGGCCCAGGACAGAACCTTGTGGAACCCCTTGCCTTACAGCCTGAAAGTCAGACAGAACACCATTACTCATCACAGCTTGTTGTCTGTTACTGATATATGAATTTATTAGTGCAAGCGGAATTCCACTAAATCCTTAAAAGCTTAGCTTTTCCAGAAGAATATCATGCGAGACATAGTCGAAAGCCTTTGACAGATCGCACATTACTGCTGTGTGATTTCCCTGCTCAAGTTCCTCAACTACATAATTCACAACATTGAGAATAGCCTGTGTAGTAGAGTGAGAGCGTCTAAAACCATATTGGGAGTTGCTGAAGAAGTTGTTTAATTCAAAATACTCACATAATTGTTTTTTAATATTTTTTTCAATAACTTTACCAAATATTGAAACAATACTTATGGGACGATAGTTATCAATTTTCGAGACATCACCTTTTTTGAAAATTGGTAATACTTTACTTTATAAATAAACTGTTTTACATAAATAAACTATTTTTAAATAAACAAACGTTACAATAAGTACTGTATTTCTATCGTGAAAAAAATAAATGGAGATAAACTCGAATGTATCTTTAAACATAAGTACGATTCCTTGCCAAGGATACCCAATACATGAAAGGCTTCTTTAAACATAAGTCAAATTATGTGCTTTAGTATTTAAAATAAAATAAAAGTTGAAAAAGTACACTCTCTATTATACCTGTCTATATCTTACGGTGACTTATGTGGTTTAGTCAGATGATGAGTTGTCCAAATTTATTGAGATTGCTGTGAAAACAATAATATTGGGATTTCGTGACTTATGTTCTTTAGTCTGCCTGTCCTCGAAATATATTATAAAATTGTTTATTTTACTGGGGAATATACTGGATTAAGGATTTCAAATTATAAACTATTTTATATTGATGGGTATAGGATGGTAGTATAGGCTTTATAAGCCTCTTCAGCAGGAAAATTCACCTTGAACCCTGCAGGCTTTACTAGTGGAAAAGATGACAGAAATGAGCCATCTATATCATGTTTACACTACAAACTACAATAAGAAATTCACCGCTGATTCAACAACAGACAATTTCAAACTGAAATTTTATTACATACCAAAACATATTCTTGTGCTTCAGCATAATTATTTCTGAAACGGATATCTAGTTAATGCAGTTCTAGGAGTTCTATTGCGATATTTTGTTCTGTTTTCCTTCCCAATAGTTCATGTTCAATAAAATTATAGAAAAATCTTATAGAACAAAAATGGCCGAGATTGTCGTTTGTGTCCTTTTCCAAATAACTGATTCAATTGTAAAATAAATTATAATAACAATAACTGATCTTTATTATTCTTTATTATTTAAACCCATAACTGATCAATTTTTGACAACTAATTTTCTTTATGTAATTCTATCAACCAATAATTTGTTGCTTTATATATGAATTTCTTTAACATTGAACATAGTAATTAGGGATGTACCGGAATTCCGGCGGTAGCACTAAATCTAGCTAGAATTTTCAAAAAAAAAAAAAACAAGGAAAACTTGTTGAACTTTATTAAATTAAAAGTAATTTAGCCATTCCTTTTTAGCATGGCACATGGATGGTAAGAGTTTTATATTTTAGATAGATAGAACTTGTAAAATAAAGGTGAGCTGTTAGAATACTTCCATATAGGTTTCTATCCTACCGGAAATTCAGCGGTCTGGCTAGTGGTCGGAATTCAGGCAGTTCCGGCCGGCTAAATACCCAATCTGGTACATCCCTAATAGAGATACATTTTTCTGTCCCATATTGTTAAAATTATTATCTCACTTGTGTTTAGATTTTATCGCTCCCTTCAATTCATATGACAAAGTATAATGATCCATGGATATCCAATTTTTGAAGATAATTTTTTTAGCCTAAGAGTATCAATAACGAAAAATTTAATCAAATTATGCTTCAAAATTTAGACTTTAACCACTTAAAATTTTATCCTCTAAATAGTATCTATAAATAAATACCTATATGTTTTTAATCTTTGAAGATTAAGTACTTGTAGATATATAAATATCCAGGTACTTGAATCCAATTTTTAATACTAATATATGTGGTATTTTTATTTTTAGAGTAAAATATTGATTTAAAGTATTAAAATAGAGGTCAGACAATAATACATTATTTTAAATTTGATTCTACCAAGGCTTTATAGACTATTATTACACAGCTCATGAAACTTATAAATTGCTCATTTTATCATGTTATGTTCACTCTTCATTCTATATGATTTTTTAATTTGTAGTATAAAAGATGGCATTATAAAAAAACCATTTGTAAAATTTTAAGGAAAAATATTCCAGTCATTTTTTCATTAAAATAACAATTTTTTTTTTTATTTTAAACAGTAAGTAATTTACCTTAAAGTTTAATCTAGTTTCATTTCAAATGAAGTAAATAGCATTCCTTTGAATGGCATTGAAATGAAATTGACTAATTATAGATAAAAAATCATGTTTAGTATTTAAAAAACCCATTACACATGCTCACGTTTCAAATTAGTAATTTGTGACAATATAACTGTCTGCTATTTGTTTTTAAATTATGAATTTTGTTCTAATTATAAGGCATTCTAAATAATAATGCATTTTTTGTTAAATTATTATTTTATCCCAATAAATTTAACCTAAAAAATATATATTTTATTTAAAAGAAACATAATAGCCCAGGATCCGTAAGTAGGGTCGACCTTCACCCATCTGTTTAATGGATAAAAGTTTTTTTTTTATTTGATAAAATATATTTTTAAATATACCGCAAATGGGTTGCCTAAGAAAATACGGTCATGGCCATTTTTTGCTTTTCTTTCTGTATACAGATAAAAGTATAGAAATCATGATAAAAGTTACCAACGATGTCATTCTATATTATTTTGTCCCTATACATGATTTCCCTAAAATGGACCTAATTCGAGATATTTGAGGAAAAATGAAAATTTGGAATTTTAAAGACAACTCAAAAACGGATAAGGAGAAAAACACCAAATTTTCAATTTAAGCTTTAATCTAGCCTGCGGTGAGCTGATTAAAGTTTGGGCATAGTCGAAGCATCTGGGAAAGACTTTACAGGGTGTCGTTTTTATTATTTTAAGAAAATAAATAGTCTGGACCGTATTTTCTTAGGCAACCCTTTTGCAGTATATTTTTAAACATATTTTATTTAATAAAAAGAAACTTTCATCCATTAAACAGATGGGTGAAGGTCGACCTTACTTCGGATCTTAGACTATAAAGAAACCTTGAGCCTAATATTTTCCATATGCAATATTATTTTTCTTCTAGGAGAATGCTCAGCTAAAAGAAAAACTAGCTCATTATGAAGCAAATCCCATCAACCATAGTGGAAATAAATCTTTAAAACCCAGCATATTTTTGTGCATATGCTTGTTAGTCGTAGGCGTAAATTTAAATATAGTTAGGTAAATAATTGTTTTATTAACTTAACTGAAAATTTAATATTGCAATAAATATTTCAGGAATATAATTTTATTATTAAAATTCGAATAATATTCAATGTTATTAGGAGTAAGATTCAATGAAAAACATGATTTATATTAAATTTGTATTTATTTTTAGGAACCCTTTTAGTATAAAGTCACAAGTAGATATTCAATCAGTACCAATATTAAATAGCCATCATGGTCGCGGTTTACTGTGGGCAGCAGATGATGGTGATGTAAAAGAAAACAAAACATCTGCTTTTTCTACATTTTTCATGTGTCCAGCCGCTATTAATCAAACAGAAAGCGCTAGATTAGTATTAGAACTAGAAAGGTAATATTTTTCAACTTACTTTCGTTTAAATAATATCTGAAGGACAATGATAATCGAAAAATTATTTGTTATCAATTATGAGTTGATATGAATACTGAAACATTACAGTCTTTGATTATATAACTAAATCATTGTTTATTTTGAAAATTTAAAAATGAAAAATATTTAATAATAATAAAAAAGAACTTATTCAATTAATATCATAACTAATATCAATTTTAATTTATTTTTACTAAAATTAAATACAGGGATATGAGATAAAGATCAACAGAAGTTTCTCTGATTAAAAAGAAGATGATTAAACAAAACATACTTAGATAAAATGTTACGCGTTCCCAAAATACAGGGTGGTAGCAGAATTTAAAAATTCAAAAATTATTAATGTTTATACATTTTTTATTACTTAGTATAATTGCAAGTAACACCTTCACATTTTCTGCCAATGTCCACAAATTTTTTTGAACTATAATTTAAATTTTTTAATGCTTTTTTTCTGTCAGTAAACGTTAAAAATCGCACTGTCAACATTCCTTGTAAATAACATTTTTCTACGCCTATGTCAGTAAACGTTTAAAATCGCACTATCAACATTCCTTGTAAATGACATTTAACAATAACATGCACGTAATGAGATCTCATAACATACACGTGCGTTTTGATAAGAAAACTTAAATTTCTTGGTTTAATCAAATTGCAATCAAATTTTTGCAGTATACGTACGACTTTATTTGGTCTATTTACATAAATTTATTCATTTAAAAAACAAAAACTTTTAGCATTAGCGAGGTACATTTTGGATTAAAAGAGTGATGCCCCTAAATGTCGGCAACATATACAACATTTCAAAAAATATGTCGCATTTTCTTAGCATGTTATGGAAATAAACGTCATGCCTTTTATATTGTCAATTTTTGTAACAAAATATGATTGTATCCGAACATTTTCTCAACTTTATCTACGAATATGTTTGTTAGCAGTGAAAGTGATGAAATTATGAGCACTCCAATGGAGATTTTAAAAAATGCCAAGCTGCCACACATAATTTGTTACCGCTAAAATCTAAAAAAGGTACGAAATTACCTATCGAAAATTTATAGATTGGCGCGACGCACTCGCCGCTGCGCGGCTTCGTGCGTAAACTTTTTCACTTCGTGCGAAATGGGTTACTTACAACTATTGTTAAGTAATATACTATTTAATAAATAATAAAAAAATTTAAAACAAAATAAAGAATATCCACCTTTGAGTCTCTAAACCAATCAGTTTTTAATTTCCCAACAAGAGTGCAGATTTATTTAAAAATCTGATGTGTCCAACACATGACTTTCCTATCTAGTTATTATAGGCTGTTTCCGGTTATTTTGTACAACTTATTGCAGCACCTCTATAAATGTTTAGAGGATAAACTAAATATATACATTTTCCACATACATCTAACTCGACACATTTTTCTATAATATATATTCCATAAAATATAAAAACGGCCTCCCATAAAGTACCCCCCCCAGATGTTCCGCCATCGTCCAAAATCTGATCTTTTCACCTCAGGCCGAAATTAAACTTAAGTTTAAAATTTAATGTTTTTTTCTTTATCAGTTTTTGAGTTTTCTTCAAAATTCGAAATTTACACATTTTTTCTCAAATATCTCGAATACTTTACATTTTACAGAAATTATTAATGGGATAAAAATTATAGAGAATTATATTACAAACCACTTTTATTTAAACATTTTTTATAAAAAATATTTTTTTTACATTTTATAAAATTTCTTGAATACGGACCATTTTAGGAAAATTTTGTATAGAACAAAAATTATAGATAATAATATTGTAAGTAACTTTTTTTTAAAGAATTTTCTTCTCCAAACTTAAATAACGGATATATTCCATAAAATATAAAAATGACCACCAATAAAATACCCCCCCAAATGTTCCGACTCTGTCCAAAATCTAATCAGTTCACCGCACCCACACACACGTACGCACCCACACACACGTACGCACCCACACACACGTACGCACCCACACACACGTACGCACCCACACACACGTACGCACCCACACACACGTACGCACCCACACACACGTACGCACCCACACACACGTACGCACCCACACACACGTACGCACCCACACACACGTACGCACCCACACACACGTACGCACCCACACACACGTACGCACCCACACACACGTACGCACCCACACACACGTACGCACCCACACACACGTACGCACCCACACACACGTACGCACCCACACACACGTACGCACCCACACACACGTACGCACCCACACACACGTACGCACCCACACACACGTACGCACCCACACACACGTACGCACCCACACACACGTACGCACCCACACACACGTACGCACCCACACACACGTACGCACCCACACACACGTACGCACACACACGTACGCACCCACACACGTACGCACCCACACACGTACGCACCCACACACGTACGCACACGCGCGCGCACACACACACACACACACACACACACACACACACACACACACACACACACACACACACACCACACAAAATAGTCAAAACGGATTTAGGGGACCTCAAAACGTAAAAATCCGTCGAAAACTGGAGGTCGAAAAAAATCATGATTCCTATTCCTTCCTGATATCTGTATACAGATAGGATAGTAAAAAACATCAATAAATTTTAAATTAAGTATAGTCCAAATAAGCTTTTGGACACTGGTGTAAAATTTAGAGGGATTAAGGTATTACTTACCCATGCTTTACGCCACTGGCAAAGTTTATTTAACCGAGAAGTTTATCTTGTGTCACGAAAAACGTCAAATTTACTAAAATTATACTAAGAAATAAAATTATAGCTATTAACAATTTTTTAATTTTTAACTTTTAACACATTTTACCTAAGCTTCAGTTGTTCTATGCCCCATTCTTAATGTTTGATCAGACTGAGATTATAATAAAAGACAAATTAAAACTCAAAGAAAATATTGTTAATTTTTTTGCATTATCTAAGCTTAAGTAATTTTAGCATTTTAAATATATGACGAATGCAAAAATGTAACAGTATAAGTCCAATAAAAAATATCTAGCACTTTAAAAGTCAAGTGAAAATTTGATTCACAAAGCATTTTTAAATGGTTAATTGCATGTAAATCCTCATAGACAGAAATGTCAATTCAGAGAAAAAGTAGAGTTGGAAGATAGCGTGATTTTTCAATTACATTTTGAATCATAACTTTATTAGTAAAATTACAATAAATGAGGTTATATTTCCTCAAATCATTAAAAAATTTAATATTCATTAATATTTTTTTGGTAAACATTTAAGAAATCGATAGGAATAAGATGTAAAAAAGTAAATTTACCAATATTAATTTCCTTTATTTGAATAAAAGTTTTACATATGGGTAAATTCAAAGATGCTCTGTGAATTAGGCTATTATAATAAAAATATATAATTTATTAACTAACTAATTAAAAATTATAATAAATATATATTATATTGTACCTAATTAATAAAAGAAAACTTAATATTTTAGGTGGATAGGAAAACCTGCAAGTCCTTCAAAAAATATTAGCATAGATAGTAACAAAACTGATAACATAAAGAAAATCCGTCCCAGGAAAAAGAAATATAGACTCGAAAATTCTCTAACATCATATAAAAGATACAGGTATGTTTTAATAGTTATTTTTTACTATCTCCACTACCTAAATGATGCAGTGAGAGATATCTTTATTTAAAAAAGGAAAGCCTAATATACAAATATTTGCTAGACATTTAAACCACACAAAATATTTTATAATATTGTTGGAAATCATAATTCTTTTCAACTGAAAGTTTACAGGAATTCAGAATGTGATTAAAATTTGCTTAGAATACATACACAAACTTACAGTTCTAGAATCAACTTGACTAGCATTGAAACGATTTAGAAGCAGTTGAGAACCTATAAAATCACAAAATAAAAAAAACATTAGGATTTTATTGTGAAGGAATTGTATTTATTTGTAAATCAGATATAACGTACTACATACAATAGGAATTAAAAAGTTTGATTTCTTTTATATTGATTTATGACTTATGGTCAATTTTACAACAAATGAAGCGATATATGCTTGGTCTAAGATACATTATTTGTTTATGCCAGTGTATATATGTTTTGTTTGTTTTAGATACAGAGATTCCCGAGAAGTGGAGTCAGCTCCCAACAATGAACTGCAAGTGTTTTCGGGACCACCAGAACACATGTACTCCGAATTCTTTGAGGCAATAAATAGACAAGACGACACTTTTTATGTCGTGTCCTTCACAGATCAACATATGTTGCTGCCTGCTTTGCACCACAACAAAACGATGAGACCGAAAATGTCTCTAATTATGCCTTCTATCATGCCAAATGGTAAGTAAAACAAATGCAAAGATTCAATAGTGAAGTTCAACTATTATTGAACATTAATTACAAAAAATCATCTTTGTTCAGGCTTTTATTGAAATACATGTACATATTAAAACAGATTAATACTTAGGCTCTCTTAGAATGTATAGAAATAATATTAAAAAAAAAAGTTTATGTTAAATCCGTAAAGTTGGCATAGTTCATCTAACAAATCTAGGTCACCTAAGGTCATCGACTCCGAATGCTCGATTCGCAATTTTAATCTAGATATTTTAGTTGGGAACTACCTAATAACTTAGCTTTCCGTGTAGGGAGGAGTGCCAAAAAACCGTTTATTTCACAACTGCATATGTAATCACTTTCATAAAAAAAATTATCAGACACCATAATTGTAGAAAACTTTAATTTTACAAAACGAGACAAAAGCACTACTCTAAATCTTGGGCAACTTCGCACAGTGGCAAAGCCAAAAGGACCTAAGTCTATATCTCAGCTAATATTGGTCCGATTTACAATGGAACAAACGGCACTATGACGAAGACGTGATGCAGATTAACGTTAAGGAAAAAAATATGCTCAGTGACAAAGCCAAAAGGACCTAAGTCTATATCTCCGCTGTTATTGGTCATATTTACACGGAACAAACGTTGCTATGAAGGACACCAGGTATAGATTAACATTGAATAACTAATGCCCTTTTGGCTTAGCCACTGCGTGTGATTTTTCGCTTTAACGTTTACCCAGAGAAGGGACGAAAAGATAGGAAACGCTCATAAGAAGCCCATGCTTAATAACGACCAGCTCGAACGCAGTTAACATCTGACCCACTATGTGACGCTTCCATTGATATCAAAAAATAAAGCAGCGGGAAATTTAAAAACCTGATAATAAAGGTTATATGAATATCGATTGCACTCTCATGTGCTGGTAAATAAATTAAAACAATGGTAATTATGCTAAATTGTTTTTTTATAAAGAATACTAACTTACAGTCTATTATCGATTAATTTTTGAACGTTATTTGTAACTTAAACATTTTTTATTCTTATTTTCCAAACGAATGGTCAACGGTGTCTCATTTATAAAAATATTTAGTGCAACCTCAATGACGGGAATTATTTAGATATTTTTCTTTCTATATCAAATTTTCTCTGTAACGTTTTCCATTTTCTTGTTCTAAAACAATAAATAAATACCTACTTTGTGACAAAAGTTGGATACTGTTTGTATACTTTGGTAAATTAAAGAATGCCATATTGGGGTTGTTAAATTTATTCATGTGGAATGTGTTACTAATGCAATACGTTCCCTGACTTATTGTAATATTGCAAAATATATTTATTGTTCTCAAATTCCACATAAAAACAACCAAAAAAATTTCGCTTAGTTCTTCTAGAAGATAACATAATCATGAACTCAAAATGTAAAATTCTAATTCAGGATTCTACGATATATACATACAACTTAATGACATTTATATTTAAAAACTGTCCACGTCTACTGTCTACAAAGGACGTGTACCTTTAGTTAACATCTGAGATGCATAGCTGACGCCATCGTTGATTCGGTCGTTGCGTTTCCTATCTTTATGTGCCTGATCTCTGCGTTTACCCATACTCGTTCACGTAAACGATGGGCGCCATCTTGGATCGTTTAGCAGAGTCGCAAACAGCTGACTTAAGTTTCAACACTGACGTCCCAGGAACGGCCTTGGTCATCTACTAATTGTTAAAATAAGAAAGATGAAATATAGATAATAAAAAGACAGAAGGTAATGACATTTTTATTATAAGGTGATAAAGGAGAAAGTGAACGAAATTAGCGGGCAGAAGAGCTAAGCTGGAGAGCAACTGATAAGCAGAAGAAACCAAGGGAGTAGACGCTATGCAGAGGAGACATGGAGTAAATGAAGTAAGGGAAGAAGCAAGGAGTAAGCAGAGCGGGTAGACGAGAAGCGAAATTTAAAATTTAAGTGTTTTTTTTATAATTTGATTTGGTATTTATTTTTGTTGTAAAAGTATTAGAAACGAACCATCCCTTTTGAAAGTTTTTAAGCATCTAGAAAAAAAGATATTGCAAATTAGTATACTGGATGTTTCCATATCAGTACATGTATTTCAATAACATAGTATTTTTTTAACCAGTACTTACTATTTCAGAAACACTTTCGAAAACATCTCTAATCTCCCTTATGAAGATCGATTGCGAAGTATTAGACACGACCTTGATTCACGTCAAGCATGGCTCGATACCTCAACATTTCAGGATGTACAGTAATGACACAAAGAAAGAACCTTCAGAATCGGAGGTGGGTGAAAACGCCACGAAACCGAATTACTACAAGAATAATTATAAGCCCTACTTCATGAAACCGCACGATAGGTTTTTTAAATTAAATTGAAATTCCATTTATATTGGATTTAAGTTGGAAATTTAACTATTGGTTGCCGCAATGGTACAATAATTATATTTTATTTGGTCCTGCTCTTCGATCATATAAACACTAGATATCGTGTACTATACCAAATGTTTTGTCCCATCTTAAGCATAGGCGGGTAAAATAGGGTCGAAAAACATTTTATTAATGAAAATTGTTGAATAAAAATTAAACGTTGCATGTATGTAAACTTTAACATGTAAAAATAACAAAGACAACAAATGCATTACTAGTATATAAAAAAAATTGTATACTGCAATCAGAATCGTTTTAAATTGGTATAGGACGGCAATAATCGTATGCACTATGTAGAATATATAACCAGGTTGAAGGTGATTAATTTTATTATGATGCAAGTTTATAATTCGGCATTTAAAGCAGGAGGTATATTAATAGAAAGACGCGTAGCATAACAACAACAAACAAATGGCACATCAATCTTTATAGATGAAGGCAGTGAGTGGTAATCTTAAAAAAAACATCATCTATGTGCTATTCAATTTTTATTTGGAAATTTGTCATTTTACTTTGTATATTAATTTTTTTAGAGGTTTTGTGCTATGACATTTTATATAAATTAAGCAATGTTGTCAAATTATCTGATGCGAAAAAATCTTGATCCATTATAATCATAAATGTCATTAGATTGATTACAAAAATCATCTTACTGATAAGTAAATCTTTTTACCTCTGTTTTAATTTTTGACGATTACTCTGAATCTGATTCATGTAGTTACCCATCGAAGAAGCTGGGTTCTATTCTGATAGATCCAAGTTTCATTGAGGTACCCAAATGTTACAGTTTGTTTTTAAATTTGCAACAAACTGCTAAAAAATGTAATTGTAGCTGCTCTAATGTTTTTCTTCGCAGGTTCATCCTCTGTTTTATATTTATACTCCATATGTTTAATAATTGTATGTAAAATTCGACTGGCTTTAAGTATTCATTTTTAGAATGCATATGCGTTTTCTTAATTCTCAAAATGTATTAAGAAAATAAATCCTTTCGATTGTGGTTAAGGTTTCGCATTTCTATTCCTCCTTTACGAATTATACATTTGTGAAATGGTTAACTTATGATTCCTTTTTATCTTGTTTGATATTCTAAGGGTGTGTACATGCCTAAGATGCCTTGATGACCGATGATTAATGATAGATTATTGGTGTACAAGCCGAAGATATCTTCCTCTATAAGTGATGATAGATGCTTCAAGCAGTGTTGCCAGGTGTGCGATAATGATCGTTTTATACGATAATTTTAGTGTTCTATACAATGTACGATAAAACCAAAATGTACGATAATTTCACCATATGACTCAAACGTTCTCTTTCAAAACAACTCTGTAAAATTGTATGCTTCACAAAATACATTAATCTTTTTGCTCCATAACCACAACTACTAAATTGAATGGAAACCGAAATCGGTCGCAAGTATATCAATAAAGAGAGGCATCAGAAAGTGAGCGAGAAAGGCAACATTGGGGGAGGAGCTTAGAGTGACCCTTCTTGTCTTTGTTTATGTTCAGTGCCTCGATTATTTTCGAAATCAATTAACGCCAACGTAGTTCAGCTTGTTTATATACGTCATCTCAGCGATGTAAAGAAATATAATGCATTGGAATACTGTAGTCCGATACAGAGTTAATGTCATAATATTCTTAATACTATATTTGTGTTATACTATTGTCAAAAACATCGAAATGAGCGACTCCTTTTTTCAATTGTATTGAGACATAATATATTGATTTTTTTGTAGCATCTTCAAATAGAAGCAGATTTTTTCTACCATTTGGGATGTCCCTTTATTATAATTGACTTATTCATTTTTATTTTACTCGATATTAAAGATATCCGTACCTAAAAAATATCTTCAATATCTTATGACATATCTGGTAGACTTTTCGCATTTTAAATTTAAAACTGATTCTTAATTATAAATACACAAAAAAATGCAGAAGAATGAGATTTCAGCATAATTTAATTTTATGCTTTCTTGGTGGTGATTTGTTTGGCCTTGCGTCTTCTTTTTTCTGGCTTTTCTTTCATAACCCAACAGTTACCCATTTTTTGATTAGTTAAAATTTTGAATATGTATGAAATTCACCAATAAGTTATTTCTTTTTAAAAGTAAAAATGTTTCTTTCTGTTCCACTACTTGGTGTAACAATTTGTGCATTTTTTTTATATTTGCTAAAACAACTACTATGTATCACTAATCACATTTTTTGATTAATCTTCGTCATTAACGTTATAAGTCAAAAGACATTTTTATTTTTACTGGTATTTATTCTTCAATGACATGAAACAGATGCAAACGACTTTAACGTGAAACAAGTTTAGACTTGTAGAGCAATCATTTGTTGATAACACCATGATTATTAACTTAAACATAGTGAAGTAAATAAGCTATTTTTATGAATAAACATTTAAGAGTCAACGTTCGGCTATAGAAGTAAACTCTTATAAGTAAAAATACTCTTTTATTCATACACGGAAGTATAAACGCTTATAAGGATTTTTCATGTTTTTATTCATCTGACCCATTGTCTCTCCTACGTATATTAATACTGATCTTATGGCTGTTCATCTTCTTACTCTTCATTATGTCCTTTTTTGCGTGCTTGGATTTTTTCCTATATTTTTATATTCGTGCCGTGTAGCTGCAACACTTCATGTATTAAGAATTCACTTTACATTAGGTTTAAAATAAAAGAATTCACTTTTAAAATGGTCTGAAAAGATACATCAGTAGATATTTTAAACGGTTTCAATGCTGAACACCATTTTTATCTCCAATCTGTTTGTAAATCAAAAACCTTTTGATTTTATTTGTTATTTACCAAAAGTGGTTACAAGAATAACTATAATTTAACGTTAATTATAAAGCATTTTTTTCTGTTTGTTGTGTTGCTTCACAACTCTTATAGTTGTGCTGTATCCGCACTCAAAACAGATCGAAACTTCAAATGCCAAACCAATAAAAAACGAGCCGATTTACAATCTTCCAATCGAATCAAATCATAGATTGGACTATTCCAATTTCATGTTGCGGACCAAAAATAGGCAGAATTTATGTATCTAGTGTTTATATGATCGAAGGACCTGTTATTGAAACATATTGTTTCTGACTTGAATATTAAGCTTGAAAGCTTCCGTTTTCCTGTTCAAATAGACTTGAATATAAAAATTCTTACAAATTTAATTGAACATAATTTTTTTATGAATCACTAAAATTTTATGCGGACTGGTTACTGTTGCAGGCAGGATTGTTCGCTGCAAACTAATATTGTACTGAAATTACTATTAGTTACGGATACGCTTTTACTATTTTTTTTTAATGTTGACTTTACATAAAAGTTAAAAATTAGCACAAGCATGAGTGGAATTCATACTTTTTTAATTCTTACTATAATACGCAATATTGGTGTGACTTAATTTGTGTTCCAATAATAGTGGACTTTTAATAAAAACCAACCATTATGTAAATAACTATATTATATGAATTTTTAAATGAATACAGTCTTGAAAATAAATAGTAGAAATAAAATTTTAATGAATACCTACAACTTCTATTTTTGTCACTGTCATTGGAACACAAATTATATCTTCACTAAAGGCATGTCTTTATAAGTTTACCATAACTTAATAGAACATACATTTATGTTACTAGAGCGAAAGAAATTAAATTTGAAATACAGGGCACTGAAATAACTAGAAATTTCCACTGGGTACTATTATTTATTATCGCCCATTTTTCTATAAAACAAAAAACTCACAAAAATGATAAATAACACGAATTAATGCCGTTAATGTGACGGACATTAATAATAAATGCTTTCATATCCACGGATGGATTTAACTATACCTGTAAAAATAATTATTTTTAATTTTTCAAAAAAGTAATTCTTCATATAATTATTTTACTTGGTAAATAAATACGATTCATGCTGAGAAACTTTGATTTTGTTGTACAGGGTGCGCAATTAAAAATATATTTGTGGATTTACAAGATTAGATTTTTTTTAATAGTTTTTGTTTGAGCGCTCAAATGAAGAGCTCGTAAGGAGAAATCGAAAAACCAAATAAAGTTTTTCATTAGAGCGCTTCCAAAAAATTATACTTAAAGTTTCTCAACGTGAATCGTATTTATTTAATATGAAATTATGAAGAATTATTTTTTTTATTTAAAATAAATATTTTTACATGTACATATTATTATATTATGAAGAAGAAAAAATGACTTCTACTTATTTGAAGTTATTAACCACAGCTACTACAAAATTTTGTTTTTTCTGTGATGAAGAACTTGATTACTCTTTTCGATTAATGTAAATTAAAAAAATACTCCACATTAATTTCATTTTTAAAAATCTTAAACCTCACAATTATGACAGAATACAAAAATGTGGGGCTATCCATCCACATCCATCGCAATCATCGGTCTTCAGTGGCCGTATTCGCTGTCGTCAATCGTGTTTTAAAAATCATAGAAACATGTTTCAGAATCGGTTAAGCTAACGCTGAATCTTTGTTTTGATTACGCTTTGTTTTTAACCTTAAAATTTTAAACTTGATTTATTTTAATTATAGGTAAACAATTAACAATTGCTACCATGTACCCTATGTTTTCATAACGAATAACCATTTATTTTAATCAAAATCGAGATAAAAAATAAATGTACACATAACCTAACAAAATGCTAAAAAATAGAATTGACAGAGGTTCAAGGTAAACTTTATGATTTTGACTCTATTTGTGCTTTTATAATTATCCATCATGATTCAAAAAGCAGTGAAGCAGTTGACAGTTTTTCACTGATTAAAAACACGTTTGACGACTGTGAACACAGTCATTCTTGATGGATGCTTTTAACATTCATTTTTTTTTCAATGATCAAAATAGAAACGGTTAGAAACACGATGAGATTAAAAACTTGCCCATTTAAATTTAATTTAGAAATTTGACGTATGACAGTAACAAATGTTACGTTACTACGGTATGTGTAGCGTCACCAGATTAACGAAGTATGTTGTACTAAGGTTATAAAGAAGTGCCTTAATATCGTAATATTCCGTAATATAGTATAGTTAATGTAATAATTCAACAAAAATCATTCGACACTGATACATATCAATTTGTAAGTTAGGTTTCATTAGCGATTTTATATTTTGTTATTTCAAAGGAGAGTATAGTCAACCGTCAAAATACTTATCCCCACTCCATATAAGTATTAAACACTATGTCCTGCATGCAGATGAATAGCATGGATATCTCGTAAATAGTTAATTTTACAGATATAGTTACATGGGAGAAAAGTTGCCTATTATTGGGGATAACAATGATCCAGCCTAAACATATCCCTAATATTCAGGACCGTTTTCGAGTTATTTGAGAAAAACAAATGTCTCGGATGGTTTTTTATCTCTAAAATAAACTGAAAATTTTTACTGATATTTTTGTTTGACCAGTTTTTCTATATCACCAAAATTAACTGTTTACTATCAGATCTTTGTGATCTGCTCTATTATGTGGGACATAGTTTTGCATAGTGTCAAACCAAATTTTAGACCATACTGTTAAGATAATATGTATTAATAATATTTGTGACAATTTGGTATGTTTGAAAAGTTACATAGATACTTGTTATGTACATTTTTCTGTCTACATTGATTTGATCTCAAGAAAAAACCTAATTAGTTTGATATGATTAAGTTTTATTAATACAGAGTGTTTGATATATAATTATTAATCATACACTTGTATGATTTTAAATGGGTTATTTGGTGCACAGATATGGGAATTTTGTAATTATAGAATATTAAATATTTAAATTATTTTAAATTCGTATAAGGTTCTTTAAGAATAAAATAATCTTGCATAACCAATAAATTATTCTACATAGTACATTTTAACCAAAATAGCATTTAAGATATTTAATATATTCCTTTTTAACATTAGTACAAAATTCAACCTAAGCTTATTTTTACTTATCGTTATAATTTGTATATTAGTTATTTCAATAGTTTAGTAGATGGGGTGTAAAAATTCAAGTTTTTTTTTATGTGCAATTTATATTACCACAATCAACAGTCGTTTTGGTTGAACAACAGTATACTGGGATTAACAGACTTCAAGAAAGTGGGAAACATTTAAATGTACACCATTGCAAAGAAATAAATCCTTATAAAAAATAATATGAAGAGATTCACAAAAAATATTTCTAAAGTAGGCCTTTGAATAATTCACTTCAAGTGTGAGATTGGATTTATTTAAGAGCTGTGCGTATTTATCACTGGTATGACTCGTATGTCTGCCAGTCATGGCCTACTTTAAAACCATTTTTTGTGGATCATCTTAAGAATATTCTTTTAATCTGACCTCTCTTCCTAAGAGTAATCTTTTATCGTTTCATACATTTTTGAAAAAAAAAAAAATCAAACTTATTTGATTTCTACTAATAGGTAAAAATTTAAAAAAAATTAAAACCAGAAAATTTCCAACAGCCTTTCGTTTTAGAATATTCTGGATCCCTTTTTCCATAATAGTGGAATCAATCTGGTAAACACATTTTATAAATAGTAATCTATATATAAATAGTAATAATTAAATAATAATAATAATAAAAAAAAAACAGTCTAAAAAGTAACACCTTAATTATATAAGATACATTTATTGTCCACATTATAAAATTATTATCTAAAATAAACTAAAAATATTTTGTATTTTATGTTTGACAATATAATATTGTCATAAAAACAGTCAATAAATAGGTTTTATGGTGATATGTTGTAAACACAAATACAAAAGACAATATCTAATAATTTAATTCCATAAAATTGAATATAAATTGAACCTGATAAAGAAATCTTTTTATTGAGTTGCATTAGACATTTCTAAATATTTTTAAATGTATATAAAAACACTTGGAATTCATTAGTTATAACATCAAATGTATCAATCAACTGTTTGTGTTATGCAACCTATTTTAATAAAATATTTTTTTTTATTATATTTTATGACTGAGTCAACCAGAACAGTTCCTCCAAAACGTTTCTATTTATTTTGGAACCAATTTATTTTTATAATACAAATGTTTATTTATAACAACAAATTAAATATTCTATATAATTGACTTTCTAAGCTTTTGTAATAAAATTATTTTCATTACATCTTCATTATGAGAACAGACAAAAAATGATTAAAAATCAGTTAGGCCTATTTTGTTTCTTTATGTATAAACAGAATTTTAAAATATACAGTGTAAGTTTTATTTGCTTGTCCTCACGCATGCAGCAATATAAGACCATCTTAAAAACAGTTATATGAGGTGACAATTTAAAAATGCTATTATCTCGTAAACTAAGATGATATCAACATGGGCGCCGTTTAAAAAATTTCCAAGTGGACAAGATAGGGTCAAAACGCCGCAGGCTATAGTCGAAAGCCATGGCGAAAAATCACAAATCTGTGGGGGGGGGGGGGGGAGGGGGGTTGGGCAGACGCCCTCCCTTGCCCTCGTGTGGCGCTTATGAATATCGGAAAAGTAAAACATGGACTAGAACATGCCATCTTATAACTTATATTGTCGAAACGCATTTTTACATTAGGTATAACAATTAGAGGATTGCTATATTTTTTTTCTTGAAGTAGGTGGCGCCTAGGGGTGTTGATTTCTGTATTTTGGCATTTAAGTTCCCCCTTTTGTATCCTAGAAATGGTTTTAAGCATTTTCTGATATTATCTTTAGTTCATAAGATATAGTCATGTCATTGTAAGTTTTTTAATTGTTACCCTATATACAGGGTGCGCCACCGGTAACGACTGGGTCTGTAAGACCAAAATTAACTTTAAAAAAAATCGCTTTTTAAGGCCAAAGGTTATATCAGAAAAGACAACAATTCTCCAGGAAAGTACTACAAATCACCCAGACAACACACCAAACCCCAGAGATATCCACAGAATATATTTTGTGGATATCCAATATATCCACAGGATATCATAGATATCCCGTGGATCTAAAATGGATATCCAAATGTCCGTCTATATCCAGGATATAGAAGATATTCTATGGATGTCCAGCAAAATTTCTAATGGGTACCTTTAGTAGAGGTTCATATAAGTAACCAATGGATATATCTTATAGCTGTTTAACATATCCAGTGTACATCATTATTTGATATATTTAAGATATCGAAAATTATATGCCAATAGGGTGTCGTATTTAATGCTTCATTAATTTTTTTATTTTTTTTGAAAGATAAGTGGAACAATGTATTCTAAAAACATTCCATATGAAAAAAATCAGCATTTCAGTAGCATAACATCGGAATGCCCTGTATTTTTAATTTGGTATATACACCCATATAAGGTTTACTATTCTAGTGTTAACTATTTTTAACGCTACACAGCATAGGTATAGCACGTAGAGTAGAAAGAGTATCGACACTTCATTTTTTCAATTATATATTGTACACCATAGCTAAAAAACCACCAAAATGTCATTGAATATGTGAAGTGAGTTTTAAACTTTATAACGCACAAGTTATCTGACATAACATTACATTTAAGCTGATGAATGAACATAGTACCCGCAGCCAAGGAAAACCTAATCACACACACACACATTATACAGGGTGTTTTTTTAATATTGCGAAAAAATTCAGAGGCGTGTCCCTTGGACGAAATGAAGCAAAGAAGTTCCTATGAACATATATGTCCTATGCTCTTAGATTTTGAACTACAGGGTGGTAAAGTTATAAGAAAAAAACTTATTTTTTGCGATACATTTAATACCCCTGTAGATATTTTTCTGAAAATTGGTACGCAGTTTCTATGCATCCAAAGCCATTTTCCGATACACAATTTAAACTTTTTCATTCGCCATTGGCGTTTTTTTCTTATAACTTTACCACCCTGTAGTTCAAAATCTAAGAGGCGTAGGACATATGTTCATAGGAACTTTTTTGCTTCATTTCGTCCAAGGGACACGCCTCTGGCAATATTAAAAAAACATCCTGTACATATATTGGCGTCGCAATTTCAACTGGAATTTTCTTCCTGAAAAAAAAAAGACGCTGTCGTAGAATTCCTCAAAACGTGAAACTATATTTTAAATCAAGCTATACCCAAAACGAAAATGAAGTCTGAAAAAAGCCTTTTGTGCAGAGTGAGACTTATACATTAATAATTTAAAAGGGCTGGATCTGTGTATATAATATACTTATTTATCTAAACTGTTGGTCCAGCTAAACATAACCTAACCCTACTTGTTAAATTCTTCATGCATGCTACTGAATACAAGGCAGATGTAATAAGATTTTACCTTAACCAGTGAAAAAAATATCTCTTTCTAATGAATTATAACAACCATTAAAAAATAGAAACCAAATCATCAACAATAATAATCACACGAAATAAGTAGGTATATGAAGGTAGGTAAAATAAACATCTATCTTAATTATAATAAAACCGGGTGTGATTTACCTAAAAAGGACACGGATTTTAACGTACATTGCATACAACTACTAAACAATCTTAATAACGTAAATTTAACCATTGTCTTATTTAACTAAAGTCTATCAACTTTTTACACTAAGAAATTTAGGTTTTAAAGCTTACTTACCTCCTTTTAATCCAAAATTATCAAATGAAACTCATGATCACGACACAAACAAAACGAAAACAAACTATAAAATGGCCGATGGCACCTGTGAGGGCAGAAAATATCCGCGCCTGCGCTCCCGTTCATTGTGAATATTATTTATCTAGTGGATATCTGTGGGATATTGAATATAACTTACTTATTTTAAATTTCTATAAACCATACCTACATACTTTCTTAGTTATCACATGGCGTAATATTTAAGTAATTTAATAATTATTAAACCAATTCACATATTTTCCGAAATTTAGGTACATAAAATATCCATAAATTACATCTAGTGGATATCCACCATGGTTTGCGTTCGCGCCTAGACTTTAATATATTTAGTGGATATCTATGCGATATTGAATACATCTTAAAACAAATTTAATTTTAAATATCTAAACGGTACTATTAGTCATAATGGCGTACTTTTTTAATAATTTGTTATGTAATTACTATTATTTACGGACATTTGCATGTCTATAAATTATATCTCATGGATATAAAATAGATATGGACTGGACATTCAGTGGATATTGCGGGATGTCCAGTAGATATCCAAAGGATTTAGTGTGCTGTCTGGGCAAAGTTAGGTTTTTTAAATAGGATACACTGTATTTTATTGCATTTTTGCAATCTAAAAAAAAAATTAGTGTAACTTTGTTAAGGATTTGTTATACGTAGAATCTATAATTTTTGATATATTCAAGTGTTTTCAAAAAATGGGTTGCTTAAAAAATGCAAATAGGTATGTCCTAAGTTTCTTAATATTTCAAATTGATAATTTTAAGGTACATTAAGAGTATATTTTAACCTTATTTAAAGTATCTTTCAAAATCCTTTCAAACAATGTAGGTATTCCTGTACATATCTGTGATAGTTTTAGAGATAACGTAGTTCTTATAATTTTTGAAAATAATTCATTATATTTCATTAATCAAAGTGTCTGAGGTTTGGTTCTCAGTTTAAGTCATTTTAATTTAAACTGTTTTGTGCAATCTTGCATTTAAAATGAAGGAATATTCAATTCAAGAAAGAGTAATATGATTCTCACCATAGGTGAATGCTACACAAATTATTTTTTATCAACAAAGGGTTTAAACCAAAGTACCCTGACGGGGATCAATCGGATAAGAGAACTTAAAAAAACTAAAACCATAATTGATAATAAAGAATTTGTGGTATTAGGTCGCGGAGAATGCTATGTTATGTTGGGTATTAATGCACTGCGACCTAAAAGATCTATTGTGCTCCCTTTTGTTGCTAATGCAGCAAGGAAATAGTCCGATCATATCTTTTCAAGGAACTGTGGGATTTGAAGTGGCTTCAAATTAGGTATGCTCCTAAGTATAATCCTCTTGGATTCTGAAGTGTTACACGGAGGTGTTTCGTCCTCCTCACAGAATATGCAATCACTACCTTCTACTACTCTCAGTTGACCAAGGTGTCATTTGGGTCGGCCATACCCAGTAAGGATCCTTGTTAGCGTAGCGTTCCTACTCGGGCAGATACAGGCTTCTATCTTTTCTGGTGAGTGGAGAATGCTAATATTAGCACCAGAGAAGTATTATGTATTTATATAAATAAAACCAATACAATATCTAATTCCATAAACATATATACAGTACGGATGCGTAGATTCTAGTTTATAGACACTAGAACAGTTAGGAGAAAATAGAGATTTTTTTAGTTTAGATTTTGTTCTATTTACAAAATACTTTCTATAACAATGGCTTATTAAATCGTCACAATGCCCATTGCTATGGGTACAAAAAATTGGTACCTATTTAGAAATAGGAGCATAAATGTATATAGTGGAATTATTTGAGAGAAAGTTATAGGCCCACATTTTTTAACGGTCATCTAAATAGATGTAATTTTTTCAGGTTTCTTCGATCAGATTTTTGGCTACTTCTAAGATATACCCCATTAATCGTAAGGGAACAAACGGTGTTCCTGCTTATGTTGCGCATGGCGTGAGAAATTACTTTTACTGGAAATTTCCTAATAAATGGATAGGAAGAAGAGGACCATGCTATTGGTCACCTAAATTACCCTGTTTAACCCCATCAAATGTTTATGGGGTTATATAAAAAGTCTTGTATACAGTACCCCAGCAACCATGCCAGAAGATATGAAGAAAATAATTAAGAATGCATTTACAACTAGTATCCCAGATATGTTAAAAAGAGTGAAACATTCGTTTGAACGGAGGATCAGTATTCAAGATTATTCATTTTGAAAATTTATTAGATTAATTAATTTATTATTTGTTCTGTACTTGGTGTTTTAAAATTTTACTTTAATTTCTTATATGTCTTAAACATAACCCTTAACTGGTTCGGCGTCGTCTGACAGACTACGCGATATAAACAATTATTTCTTATTGGTTATTGGGAACTCCACAGGTAGGGCCTTACATCTAATCCTTTCCAAATTGGAGCTCGACAGGTAGCCATGTTTGCGACAGAGTGGCGTCAGTTTCCTAAAAGCTGTGGCAAAAATTAGTTCAAGAGTAGTGAACTTTTAGCTTATGCTGGAAATCATTAACTGTTTTTTACATTTGTATTTTATGTAAGTTTTTGTTTAACTAACACTTTGACAATTTAATATTGCAATATGAAAGATTTTTTCTTTTTTTCTTGTATTTTTTGCCTTTCGTTTAAAAATATGTACTTTTTCAAAATTTCTGTGCGGGTTTTAGTTTTGGGTTTAATTTAGTTTTAAATATGTTTATTTTTACATATTATTATTAAGTAATGTTTTTTTAACACCTATGTGAAATAAAACATTTCATTTTGTCTATTTTAATTTTTTTTGCTCTCTGAAAAAAGTAGTGTAAGGAATAATATAAATTATAATATAACACAATAATAACGTAGCAAACTGAGTTTACTCCAATCGATACAACGAATATGTCTTAAGTCTTGACAGCCATTACAGTCGCACTGACTTGCCCATACAACTCACTCTAATAATTAAGATATAGGCAACATGATATACACACATGTGTGATACTGGTTGCCTATGCTACACTCATCATATTCCTACAGTAGTCTTATAGACTTAATTTACAGTGTCCAAAATCATAAAAGTGTCGCGAGCTATGGTTTTTATCCCCCTGATTATGAATCCAGAGAAATTGGCTCTGAAGAAAATAAAATTTTCACCAAAATATCGAAAAAAAAAAAAAAATTGAAATGATTTCAAGAGATTCTTCAAATAATGTTAAAAAATACTGGGTGTTCTCTTTAAACCAACGGAGTTTTTTAGTGTTTAAAGCTGTGTATAATATCTATTTTCTAAATATATACAATATATGTTTGATCAACAAGTATTTGAACATATTACAGCTCAGAAGACTCTCTTAATAACATACCTTAAAAAAATTAATTTGAAATATTACGACATAGGTATTTGCATTTTTTAAACATCACATATTTTTGAAAACACTTAAATATATCAAAAATTATTGACTCTAGGTATAACGACCCTTAACAAAGATTAATTTATAGTTTTAAAAAATGCAATTTAAGAACCTTGCTTTGCTCTGCTTTGTAGCACTTTCCTGAAGCACCTTGTATAATTGAAATTATTTTTAAATACTTGTTGCCATTTCTGATATACTTCTCGCAATGAAAATCGATTAAAAAAAGTTTGACTCCACAAACTGAGGTGTTACCGGTGGCCCACCCTGTATACTTATTGTAAAAATCTAATACAATATAGTACATATAATTTAAGGAGTTAAAAATCATCAAACTAGTGGCGATGATTCTATTTTAAATCGGGCATACTGGCTCCTAAGTAAACTTTAAGATCTTCAATGGTCGATTTTACTATTTTAGCTGTAATTGTGTCAAGTTTCAACCTCTGGTGAGCTGCAAATCTGTGACAGCCGCCGAAACTGTAATAATAATTACCGCCTTCTTTGCCTGTTATCCACAAAACATCAATAGGTGGAACTTCATTAATTTTCTTAGGATCGGATAATGTTTCCATCAATGATTTTACTTTTTGTTCATCGAGCTGAGGTGGTATAGGTCTGATAATAATATTCATTGGCATTTCATGGACTTCATGAATATTAGTTGAGTGAATGCTTGTCATTTTTCTGTAGAACATAAAAGTTTTGTTAATATTTTTTGACATGCTTACAATTAATGCATTTATATTATTTTAATAGTAGAACCTGAATTTTATGTTATTTTCTATTTCTGATTAGGGACAGATGTGGAGATGAAATCTGAAATATTAAAATAAAAAAGCTATTAAACTTCTGCTCAAAATAGAATTGCACAGATTGCAGCATTGTTTTTCGAAATATAAAAATTGATAAGGTGTTTGTTGACTGTTAATTATTATGATAACCTATTGATGACCTTTTTTCTGAATTTATTAATAATGAAAACAATGCATTTAAAAGTAACAGTAATGTGAGTCAAAAATTTAAATGATAGGTATATTGGAATAGGTCAAATTCATTATTCATTTTGTGATCTTACAAAAAATTGTAAGGAATATTTTTTAGGAGGATGAATAAGAATATTGTTAAGTTTTAATAATACAACATATAATATACATATATGATCTACCTGAACATTATTTTTCAAAAAAAGTTAAATTTAGCCCCGTAAAGTTTGATTTTCATTTGATATACTTACAGTTCAAATAATTATAAAATTTTACATTTTCATTGATGGACTCGGGACTTCTGTCACATATTCTACTATTTAGATTTATATTAAGTCTAATTTTAAATGCAAAAGAAAACAAACGTACATTCGCCATTTAAGTATGATAGAAATAGAGAGTTTTAGCAAATAGTAAATATACCTATAAGATCTCTGCTAAAGTTACAGGGTAATCTTTAATTGTGACTGTGACATTTTTCATAAACATTTAAAGATATAGATTACATTATATCGCTAAGGTAACTCTCTATTAGGGAGTTTTAGCAAACAGCCGCTAACCATCCGCTAACGTTACCTTAGGGATAGACTGTAATCTACTCTGTTCAATGTTTATGAAAAAGGTCACAATCTAAGTTTAACGTAACGTTAGCGGAAATCTTACGTACATTTGCTAAAACTCTCTATTATCTTGTAACCTTACCAATAAATATATTTACAACCTTCACTTTTGGAGAACGAAACAACAATGAGTACTTTTTGTAGAAGTTTCTATTTATGTGTTAATTTATTTTCAGGGTCATGTTTACCTGAATTTCAGCTGAGTAAGGTATTGGTACTTAGCTGTAATCTCTCCACATTTATCATTATAAATATAAATTAATAGATAGTCTTTCAAATATTCAAATTCAAATGTTTTTTATTTAAATACAATTCTTCTTTTTTAACCACCAGTTGATGTTACTATTGAAGGTCCTTAGGTCCGTATTTATAAACAGAACTCAGCTGAGTCGGGTCCGTATTTATAAACAGAACTCGGCTGGGTCGGACTTGGGTAAGTCGTCCTTCTTTGAACTAAAATCGAAGGTCGGTTACAACTTACAACGTTTCTAAAGTTCCAAGTGATTCAGGTGTTACCATGGGGGGCTATTTTCAAACTCGAGAGAATTCATTTCTCTCAAGAGAAATGTCATACGTCAACGTAAAACCGTATTTTTAGGGCTCTTAGGGCCAGTGTGAACTCACTGACTGTTTCTCTCGGTTTATTTAGAGAGAATTAAAATCTTCCTAAGAATTTTAATCCTCGATGCCTTTAAAAACATTTCCACATTGACGTATGACATTTCTGATGAGAATCTTGAGAGAAATGAGTGCTCCCATACTTTGAAAATAGCCCCCCTCTCCTCTGGGGGGCTATTTTCAAAGTCGAGAGAATTCATTTCTCTCGAGAGAAATGTCATACGTCAACGTAAAACAGTAATGTTTAGGGTCCTAAGGGCCAGTGTGAACTCACTGATTGTTTCTCACGGTTTATTTAGAGATAATTAATATCCTCCTAAGATTTTTAATCCTCGAGGCCCTTAAAAACAGCGTTTCCACATTGACGTATGACATTTCTGATGAGAATCTTGAGAGAAATGAGTGCTCCCATACTTTGAAAATAGCCCCCCTAGGGTGCTATTTTCAAAGTCGAGAGAATTCATTTCTCTCGAGAGAAATGTCATACGTCAACGTAAAACAGTATTTTTAGGGTCCTAAGGGCCAGTGTAAACTCACTGATTGTTTCTCACGGTTTATTTAGAGATAATTAATATCCTCCTAAGAATTTTAATCCTCGAGGCCTTTAAAAACAGCGTTTCCACATTGACGTATGACATTTCTGATGAGAATCTTGAGAGAAATGAGTACTCACACGGTTTGAAAATAGGTCCCCTGGGGACCTATTTTCAAAGTATGTGAGCACTCATTTCTCTCAAGATTCTCATCAGAAATGTCATACGTCAATGTGGAAACGCTGTATTTAAAGACATCGAGGATTAAAATTCTTAGGAAGATTTTAATTCTCTCTAAATAAACCGAGAGAAACAGTCAGTGAGTTCACACTGGCCCTAAGAGCCCTAAAAATACGGTTTTACGTTGACGTATGACATTTCTCTTGAGAGAAATGAATTCTCTCGAGTTTGAAAATAGCTCCCCTGGGGGTCAATTCTCGACTTGTAGGAACCTTTTCCTATAGGAATTTGTGACACTTTCCTACATGTAGACAAATGTCATAAATTTCCGATGTGTAGAAAAATGTCAAAAATTCCTATAGGAAAAAATTCCTACGAGTCGAGAATCGACCCCCTGGGGACCTATTTTCAAACTCGAGAGAATTCATTTCCATCAAGAGAAATGTCATACGTCAACGTAAAACCGTATTTTTAGGGCTCTTAGGGCCAGTGTGAACTCACTGACTGTTTCTCTCTGTTTATTTAGAGATAATTAAAATTCTCCTAAGAATTTTAATCCCCGAGGCCTTTAAAAACAGCGTTTCCACATTGACATATGACATTTCTGATGAGAATCTTGAGAGAAATGAGTGCTCCCATACTCTGAAAATAGCCCCCCTAAAAGGAGTTAAAGGAACTTGGCAGACCGAACGCAATGTTTGTAGTAGCGCCGTCCGACTCAACTGAGAATTTTTATTCTTTATGTTGGTCATTCTGTAAAAGACGTCATTTCCGTTTTCTTTCTTTCTTCTCCCTTCAACGCATCAACGCCCTTATTTATTCTCTCTTTTCTATCACAAACGCATCGCGGATCACGGTTGTTTTATTTTTCGCCTTCTCGTTCTTGTTCGCCGTCGCCATTACGTTTACGTATTTTAATGAAAGTAACCGGTAGTTTGTGTCTTTAATTTTGTATTCTCGCAAATATTTTTATATTTGGAAATATTTCATCCATGAAAGTTGAAATGAGACGAGACGAAGACAAAGTAAGTTCACCATATATTTAGTTTTTATTTTATTAAGAGTTGGAATTTAGATGACGCGTCATCTTATCGATTGTGGGCTATTGGGCATATTTGACTAAATTTTTAATTTAAAATAAAATTAATTGTAAATAGGTTTACGAAATATATTTTTTAAATAGTTTATAATCTTTATTTGTTAGGTGAAATTATATTGAACCTTACGCTTATACCCATAGAGATGCTTGTACCGCTTTATAGAATAAATTTGTGATCGAAGAAAAATCAATCTCGTCTGGTTTTGACTTTTTTATATACTACTTATTAAACCAAAATCTTCCATTTAAACTTTATATATTTTTTCATGTCTGACGTAGACTTGCAAAGGCGTAGCGGTTAAAAGCAATATATGATAATTATTAGTATTTTAATTTTGATTCTTCAGTACTTAGTTTATTACTGTTCCCCATACGGGTACGCAAATGCCTGTACTATGTCTTTCGTTTTTATTGTATACAAGCCGATTGTCTTCCCATTTGGTCTCTATGCTTATTCCAGTATATTTATATTTCCTCCTCTTTCACAACCATTCAGATGGAAAATTGTGAGACAGATGTTTATTGAGAAATTACACCTTTTTTCTTTATTTACCACTATTAAAAAACTACTATCTGAAAAAAAAAACCTTTGAAGGCAGTAACATAATAGGTACACATTTTTACGTATTTAACATTGGTTTTTCAGATGCCCATGCCTACTTATAAAAATATCCTGGCTTAGCCCTTTAACTGAATTTAGAAAAAAAAGTGTTAAACCCCTATTTCTTTGTTTTTAATGAGTTCTACACCAATTTTCACATTTGTAGCATCTTTAGTTTTTGAGATATAGAAATATTTAAATAAAAATTAACCCACCTTCATGATTAAAAAATTAAATATTGGCCCTTCCATGTAACTTAAAAAGGCAAAATGGGGTTTTCTCTGTTATCTCTTATTTTTTCTTTGTTGAAGAGCCTGCATACCACTTTACTGTTTTGTAATGTCTTCCATTTTCAAGATACTAGGTAAACATATTTTAGAAAAATGTATCACAAGTATCCCACTCCTTTTCATGGCCCTTAACTGGATTTTAAAAAATGGCAAAATATGCTATTCTTTATTTTGAAATGATAATCTAAATAAATAGCAATTTTCATGCATTTAGTTTTTAGTTCTTGTGATCTAGGCATTTCTAAAAATAAATTCAGACCCCCTTTTCAGCCACATGGTTGAAATTTTAAAAAGAATTTATTTTGCTATGAAAGTCATGTTTTTCTCAATTATTTCAAATTTAATATCTTTTGAACTGTCAACAATAAAACAAAGCTTGATAGTAGATATATGACATAATATGACCTTCCCTGTTGCCTCTCTTTGTTTGATCAGTGACTTATGGGACACCCTCTATTGAGATTGTCTAACTTGTATGATTATATTTTATTGGTTCTTTAGATGAAATCATACATTTTGTTTTTTGAAATTAACTATCATTTTTAGTATTTTTTCTTGGAAAGCATAGATAACTTTATATAATTGTTTATAATTCAGGGTGGTGACAAAATGGAACCAGAACAATTCAGGAAGCTTTTCATTGGAGGACTGGACTTTCGTACAACTGATGATTCCTTGAAATCACATTTTGAACAATGGGGTGAAATCGTAGATGTTGTAGTTATGAAGGACCCCACAACTAAACGATCACGTGGTTTCGGTTTTATTACCTATTCCAAAGCACATATGGTAGATGATGCTCAACAAGCTAGACCACACAGAGTTGATGGCAGGGTTGTTGAACCAAAAAGAGCTGTACCCAGACAAGATATTGGACGCCCAGAAGCCGGCGCTACAGTTAAGAAATTGTTTGTTGGTGGTATGAAGGAAGATCTTGAGGAAGAGGATTTAAAGGAGTATTTTTCAAAATATGGAAGTGTCTTGTCTGTTAGTATTGTTACTGATAAGGAAAATGGAAAGAAAAGGGGATTTGGATTTGTTGAATTCGAAGATTATGATACTGTTGATAAAATTGTTTGTAAGTAGAAACTTTCTTTTTGGGTTGTATTTTTACATTTTAAATATTTAATGGTTTTGTTTAGTACAAAGGAGCCACACAGTAAAGGGAAGGCATGTTGATGTAAAGAAGGCTTTAAGTAAAGCTGAAATGGATCGTGCTGGTTCTGGTGGTCCACGTGGTGGAGGTAGAGGAGGTGGCTCCATGGGTGGCGGCGGCGGTGGCCGTGGTGGAAACTTTAACCAAGGTAAAAAAATTTAAAATTTTTTAATGCTTTTGCATTTTGTTAAATGTTGAATGTGTAATTATAGGAGGTGGCGGCGGCGGCAATTGGAACCGCGGTGGCGGTCAGGGCGACTGGAACCAAGGAGGAGGAGGAGGTGGTCCTGGCAATTACAGTGGTGGCCCATGGTCTCAGGGACCTTGGGATAACCAGGGTGGTCCAGGAGGTCCCGGTGGTCCATGGGGTGGCCAAGGAGGTATGTTTTACACACTTTACCAATTTTAGTAGTTAAAAATAAAATTATTTTTTTAGGTTATAGTCAAGGAGGTCCGGGTCCTTGGAACCAAGGAGGTGGTGGGGGCGGCCCTGACGCCTTTGGAAACAACTACCAACAGAGTTATGGTGGTGGTGCAGTGAGGAACAACTACCAAAATCAGAGGCCAGCTCCATACAGTAAGTAGCAATTTTCAATACTTCAACTTTCAATGTGTGCCCTCTAATTTTTTGTTATGTATGTTAAGAGTCATTAAAGGCAGTAGATGGCAACAGAGGCTGAAGGTGAGTAGCTGAAAAGCACGAAACTTTAGATTATTGTATTATATGGTGGGGGAACTTTGGTTATTTTTTTTTATGTTTTACTTTATTTCGAATTTTTAGATAATTTTTGTACATTTGCTACTAGTTTATGTTAAAATGCAATTTGTTTTCTTCTTTTTATTAATTTATATTACACTGATGGGATAGAAATTGTTTTTTAAAACAAATATTTTAATAAAATGCAGAATGTACATTGTTTTCATCAAATTCGTTGTTGAGTGAACATCAAAAATCTTAAATGAATACCAAAAAAAAAGTTGCATGAAATGCTTGGTATTAGGAGAATGATAATTGCTCTGATATCGAAATTTTATGAGAACCAAGAATAGTAACTTCTTTAAAGATTTGTAAATTTTTAATCAAATTGTTTCCATTTATAGAAATTGATTTAAAAAAATGTATTAATCTTATATCTAGAGGGACACGCCAGTTTTGTTACTCTTTAAAAAACTAGAATAGACAATTTTAAAATAAAAGATGTACATAAATAATGTGAACTAGCTTGACATTACTTTATAGAGTGTATAGCCCTTTTAGGATCCTAACTTACATTTTTTCTTACATTCACAGGTTTTATTTTCTTTCATTTCCTTTTATTGCTCTTCAGCTTCTTGTCTTTTGTATTTCTTGTTCATATATCATAATTTATTTTGTTTTCCTCTGTATATTTTTTCCGCTAGATTAATAGATTAACTTTGGTTTTAACATTATGTTTGACTCCCTATATGTTTCTTTAATGCTTTTTATCATACTGTACTTCATAAAGGGAAAAGTATTAAGCAAAAAACAAAAAAAAAAAGGTAAATTGTAGAAAAGTTTCAAAAGGTAAAAAAAAAAAATAAAAAAAAATTAAGCATAAAAAAATATATTTTATCTTGCTATATTTTAATTTTATATATTTTTAAATTTTAACTTATAACCGTGTTACAAAAAAAAAAATCTTAAGTTTTAAATGTATTTCAATAAATTTTAATTTATATGTATATATATCACACACAAACATCCTTGATGTTTCCGTGATTATTTGTTTATTTCCTACTTAATTTTATCTCAAATTTGGGACTTGGAATTTAACTAATTTAATCTGGCTCGAAAGATCATAAAGAATTGTGCAAGGTTTGAACATTCTTGTTAAGGGATCAACATCTAACATAACCTCATGCATCATGTTAAATCGTCTCCAAGTACTTGGGTGTCGGTATGAGCCCCGTTACCTAGATCTTTACATGCGAACACGGACGTTAATGTGTGAGCGCTAGCTAGCACGTTATATGACTGCGAGCATGTAGAAAGCAGGTAACGTTTTACGATATACTGCAATTTACTACGTTTTACAACCTAAAATCACATAACAGTTTATCATTTGATACTATCATTACAAGTTGCCGAATGTGACTTAAAATATTGACAGTTTAGTTACCACTGATAGTTCAGTCACCACTGATAGTTCATTCATAACTGTTGTTAAAAATTTTACCAGGCTAGCCCGTTATGATTCCCTTAACAACCATGAACAGAGGTTTGTTACCACGGTGTAACATTGCAGTATATCATAAAAGATTTTACTTAATACACATAATAACAAATCAGTAGTTATAATTATTCAATAGTTTATCAAATAGATAACCATTCTTTTTATGTTTCCATTTAATAGGTTTTTTTTATCCTGAATTTATCATTTCTGCTGTATTTTAGTCCAGGAGTTTTAATAGTTTTTTTAAAACAAAATGTGCATTCCTAATGCAGGTTTGAACAATATTTTTGAAAAAGTGACATAATATATGCAGGTTTTCTGTGTACTTTTAAACAAGATAATTTACAAAATTAAATTACAACTATGCTTTTTATAAATTTTAAAGCCTCGAAATACCAAATTTTCCGAAAATGCAAAAATAAAATTGTGAACATTTTTCAGCTGTAATATACCTTCTTTTTGTTATAGATACCAGCGGATTTGGTGGTGGTGGTAGCAGTTATCCCAACGGCGGTAACCAAGGCGGTCCTCCTGGCCAAAGGCGATTCTAAAACGTAAGTGCCCTGATACACTGCTTACAAAAAACTTAAAGTAATTGAAAAATGGGCAGTGCCAGGTGTACAGATCATATCGTTCCAAAAGCATTCACCTCTCTAAAAATTAAACTCAATTAAAATAAGGTAGAACAGTTGTGAACGTTTTGTTAATTTCCACTCTATGGATCAAACAACGTTTTTTAATAAATTGTCATTTGGTGTAATAGCGTTTAAAATTTTTAGTATTTTTATAAATCAAAACTTTTTAAAAAACGTCGTTTGGTACCGGTGTTAGAACAATTCGAAATTGCGCCATTTATTGATAGTTTTCTGTATTACATTTACGTCGCTAATGTGTGCAATAACATTTCTGGCTCCTGAATTAGAATAAACAAACAAATCTAAAGAATAAGGGATGACATTTAATATAGGTGTACGCAGTTTCATGCGCACGGATATGTTAAGTTAGTTTTGTATTTTACAGTGTGTCACAATTTTTTTTATGTCTTTGACTTTATCACGTTAGGAATAGGTAATAAATGTATATGTATTTCCAGTATTTATTAAAGGATTGTAGTAATAATAGTAGTATTTTTTTAATAATAAAAAAAATAGATTAGGTTATTTTTGTAAAATGTAGATTGCAGGAACAGAACAGGTGCAGAAGCAGGTAGTATGTTTTCATTTGTCAATTTAATGGACCTAATTTGTCAATAAATTGTTTTGAAATTAAAGTGGAATGCCTACTTATTTTTAGGAAAAAATATTCTTTTAGGCATTGCTCAGAGAAATTGTCACTGTATTGTTAAATAGCTGGACAGAACGAATTGGTGCAATAAGTTCAAATAACAAAAAGTTTGATAATGAAAATTTTTTGAAAGTTCAAATTACAACAGTTCGAAACTACAAAAGTTTGAGAAAAATACAAAAACAATTTACCTAACCTGTGTGACCTAGAGCAATCGCGAGTTGCTTCGCAAAAAAATTATACATAAAATGAGAGAAAAAACTTAATATGCCAATTTCGTAATATAATGCTTACGATCTTATTTCGATCTTTAGTACTTTCAAACATGTGATTTTGGTCATTTGTGCTTTGGATCATATGCGATATCAATCATTTGTTTTAATTTCAATCATTTTTTGTTTTGATCTTTTCTAACTTTCGATCATTTTTTCGCGCATTTTCAAAGTTTGGTCATTTGAAAATTTTTACCAGTGGAACTTATTTTTAAAGTTTTTTTTTTTTTTTTTTTTTTTTTTTTTTTTTTTTTTTTTTTTTAATTTGGTGTCATCGGCGTCGACTACTACGGCCATTAGCCTCGTGTTCTGTGTAGGCTTTGTTACTGTTTCCCAGCGCCACTTTAGGAACAGCACTGTTAATTAGAACCCAATAGTGAATGGTCGAGTGGGGACAATCGAATTTTTATAGTTCGGACTATGACATATTCAGCTTTTTAGACAGGTTTCAAATGTATAAAGTGTAAAAAAAATTGTCCTAAACTCAAAGGTTGATAGGTTTTGGATTAAATTTTAAAATGGCTAAAAACAATAATTATCTGCTAAAAAATTTGATCAATTATCTTCTATGGCTACTCTCGCAGAGGTATTATTTAAAAATCATTTGTTGACCCCATCTTTGAAAGTTCGGGTATATCTGGAATCACCTGAAAATCTAGAAATTATACCTAAACTTTTATTTTCACATTACTTAATTACGAAAACATTCTGTGGGCTTCTACAAATCCTGTTATAAGGAGATCTAATAATACTGCCGCATTTAGGGTTTTTATGGTTCCCTAAATGAGCTGAGGGGTTAATTGAAGCTAGATGGTAGAACTTATAAAACAATATTAATTGAAATTATTTATTTGCTAAGTAAATTCTTGATTTAAAAAAAGAAAAGACAATCTTCATTGATTAATAATTAAAATAACATTAATGAGGTACTTACCAAGGGTACACCATTCTAAGAGGGATGGTGCTTGTGTCGTCGCTCTTCAAAACCAAGTGATTAATAATTTTTAATATTTTATAAAGAAAGTTCAGATTCATTCACTTTTGCTTGATCAGGTAATTCGTTGAATGAACCGCGTTTACTGCTGTCTTTGCAATTTCAACGAATTTCCTTTAAAAAACATCAATTAATTAAGAAACCTAAATTTATACTTCCTCTTTAGAAATAATATCTTTAAATAAACTAAACAATGAATGTGAAAAATGAAAATAATAATTTAATTTTGAGATAAATATTTTTTACTAAATAAATAATTAATCTATTTTACCTATAGTACATGAACCCTAAATATTAGGGCGGCCCAAAAAAAAAAACGAACTTTTTTTTAATTTAAGTCTCCTATGAAAATATGTTAGTTTATCATGTTTTAAGAGCCCACTCCAAAGGACAGCTTAAAAAACATTTTAAAGGGTCGCTCCGAATTTTTGAAAATTCCAAAATCGTCGAAAACCGGATTTTTTTTTGTTTTAAATTTTTTTTCTCATTATTTTATTTTTTTCTATAAGAAAAATCAAAGATCCTGAAAATTTCAAGTCGAAATTTTAATATTGAAAGGTCGCTCCAAATTTTTCTAAAGTTTCAAATCGAGTACTTTATATCTTTTCGAGCTACTTTTGAACATGAATATTTATATTTTATATACTTGATATTTTTTTGTTTTCATTAAACTTTTTTTTCGTTCCTCGTGCTTCAATTTCATTCTTTAGTATGTAAAATTAAAGAAAAAAAATATAAAGTTCGTTAATATTCATGTTCAAAAGTAGCTCAAAGAGATTTATCTTTATAATTTTTCTTATAAAAAAAAAAAAAAATGAAATAATGAGAAAAAAAATTAAAACAAAATAATCCGGTTTTCGACGATTTTGGATTTTTTTTAAAATACGGAGCGATCCTTTAAACATTTTTTTGAGCTGTCCTTCAGAGGGGGATCTTAAAACATGATAAACTAACATATTTTCATAGGAGACTTAAAAAAAATATTTACTTTTTTTGGGCTACCCTACTAAATATATTATTTGACAATACAAATGGGAAAATGTTGCAAGCCAAAGATAGGTGAAGAAATTTTCAACTACTTCACCCAAAGGATAGGCTAAATTACTTAAGAATCTTCTGAAATGAGAATGAAGATAGTCGAATTTTGTAATCATGCAAACGAAAGATATCCCTTGCAAGTGCAAGGTTATTATAGTTCAACTTTGCCCATTGTGCATTCTCCAGGGGCATGTAGAACCTGCTTCTTGTCAACCTATTGGTTGTCGCTGATGTGTTTAGGGACAACCATCTTTCCAGCACATCAAAGTCCTGCAGGTTATCAATTCGTTAAAAACCTGCTGGTTGTCGCTGGGGTGGTGTCTGCACGTTAATAACGTCGCCGAGAGGTGTCTCTAGATGCCCCATTTTTGGGAAGTGGTCATTTGATGGGCTTTACCACCCTAGTGGTAAATATCAGGGTGAAGCCATTCTGTCCGCCCGCTGTACAGGGCAATACACAAAAATCTTATTGGTTGCATTGTTAAAAGCTAAGCTTCATAATAATGAATAAGCAGTGGGTCCAACACAGAATCTTGTGTAATCCCGTTTAATTGCTGGACCTTAATTTTCAATTTACCTTTTAGTACATACCCACACAATATTAAGAGGCTTATAATGTAATACAAAAGCCTCCTTATTTAATTTCAAAAAAAGTTCATTGTTGACATCAAATTCTTTTTTTAAAAGTACGAATATTATATTTAAATAATTTTTCTCTGAAATATTTAGGATTGACCAACTATTTTTTTGTATCAGAACAAGTTAAATTATTAGATGTTTCTAAGGCAAACTTTAAATTCAAGATTTTTGTCATTATCAAGACTTTATGTTTGATAAGAGGTCCATTAAAATGACAATCCTATAGTGAAAAAAATCAAATTCTTAATCAGGTGGATTTTATTTAGGTCTGAAGTATAGGATTTTTAGTACCATCAAAAATATTAAATACTAATCTATAGTGTAGACAGAAAGAAATAGGACAGTGATAGTTCGTGAGTTTATACAGGTATATATAGGTATGTATTTTTTTTTAGATTTTGTTAGGTTAGACACGTTTTGTATGGAGTGATATTCTATAAGAAAAAGTAACGACATTAATTTGTTTTAATTTTTAGATTTTTTAACAGACTTCAAAAAAGGGGGTACTTCAGGGGTGGTCCCATATAAATTTGGTCAATATCTAATAATGGGTTTAGCAATGTTTAGCAATAATTCTTTACCACCTTGTTCGATTTCTATGATTATTTTTTTGTGTGTAAGGGGGTACCTCAGGGGTGGTCCCCTATAAATTTGGCCAAGATGTGGTGATGGCATCTGCACGATTTTGAAGTCGGTTTTTTAAAATTACTTTTATAACTAGTTACAATTTGAGTATTGTTAATGACTATTCAATATTTATGATCAGATTTTTAGCTTATTTTATGTTACCACCAGTTTATTTTTAATTGTTTAATATCACTCTGTACTACCTATTTAGCTCAGGTTACTACAAAAAAATAGGTACTTTTTCGCTAGGAAATTGTAGTTTTCAACAATAGGTAAAACAAACCTGGGTTAGGTAGCAATTAATGCAAAAATTGTCAAAAAAAAAGAAACACTCAAACACTGACTAACAGCGGGTTCACACAATTTTGCATATTCAATCATTTGTGTTTTCATCATTGTTTAATTTTATCGAAAATTGGAACTTTACCTTTTGATACAATAATTTAAAAATAATTTTTAGATCTGGTTGAGGTTGTAATTTATATTATTCGACGAGTATATAATGATGGCTGTTATTCACGATATTGAAAGTTGCGGCACGAAACTAGGCTGAATAATATCGGTTATATGCATAATACAAGTAGAATAATATACTTTGTCTACGACTAAGTATTTTTGACTATATTTTTTTTTCAAATTAAGTATTTACTCGTTTTTCTAATGAGTTTCATGGCACGTACCGTTTTTTACACCGCTGCCTACCTACTGGATACAATTTAAAATAATACTGAGTTGATAATTTTTTTCCATAAAATTACAGTATACTAATTGAACATTTATAACAAAATTCCAATTTTCGAAATGTTTCATTCACATTTAAATTCTCAAATTCTATGGTATTTTCTATTGTATATTTTTCTAACATTTATTTCTTTTTGTATCAGTGGCATGATGCACAAGTAATGGTGATACCAAGAAAAAAAGTAGGATGGGTGAGTATTGTGGATGGCCCAAGGTAAATAAAATAAATTGGTACCGCTCTGATAGAGTTTGATAAAAAAAATGTGGTACAGCTCTCCTCAGTAATTAAAAAGCGAAGGGTAATATTAACTATTTAACCTAAAAAGGTCATAAGAATGTTATAAATTGGAAGATGTATGAATTAGGGCCAGTGTTTTCACCTCTGAGTAAAATTGAAAGTTACTACTTGCAGATTAAACTATAGTGCTATTGTTTGTTAATCTATCAAGTAATAAACCTACATGTAACTTTACTAAGAGGTGAGAAGATCGTACCTTAGTATATTTGAATGATTATAGGGTTTGTCCGTAAAGTAATGGGACTGGGCCTGATAAAAATAATTTATTGATACAATCTGTACATATTGTTAAAAGTATTCAAAATAGTTTCCTTGGGTGTCGATACACTGCTGCCAACGCGATTCCCACACTACAAAGGCTCCCTGGAAGTCGGCTGCCATAACCGCTTTCAGAGATCGGCAGCTCATTGGGATGGCGGGAACATCTTCGAACCAGTGATCTTTCATGATTCTTTGAGTTTTGAGAACAGGCGGGCCCACATCTGGGGTGGCTGCGGCAAGGTTGAAACCTTATACAGGCCAGGTAGACAGTGTGGGCTGAAGTGTTGTCATGATGGAGCTTCCAGCGATCGGCAATCTCTCTGCACATGTTGAAGTCTTTGGTGATTAATCTACACTCAAACGACGGTCTGAGTCTAATTTTTTACTTTGGCCACATTCTCAACCAAACCATTTCTTGAACCCACTGTCATACCATAAAACCTGGGCGCGTGAAAGGACGTAGTCTTTATACGCCTCTTAATCAAGGCGAGCGT